ATTGGTTAATTTTAATTTTCAGCCGAGAAATCTTTTTTTTAAAAAAAAATGACGGTGCTAGATAAATCTGAATTTATTAGGTATTGCATAAAAATATTTTTTTATTTGATCGCTTTAATTTTTACCAAAACTACATATTTTAATGCGAAATTTGTTTATTGGCTAATACAACCTTTCATTCATATTAATTTTACATTCGTTATGTAAAACCTTATTGCAACAAATTATTGATTAGCTTACTTTTGTGATGATAATTTTGTTTAACCTTATTATTATTATTATTATTGTTGTTGTTGTTGTTTTAATAATCGGATTCCTGAGTAATTAAAATTTCTGCTGGGGATGGCGATAGACCAAAGTCAAGGGCGGGAGTCGGACATCGCCTGAATTTAGAACAGCATAGAAAGGTCTTCCACTCCGCTCCCCCTGCTCCAGCTCAAAAATCTGAATTCATTGAAATTTAGAGACTTTACAGCCAGGTAGTTGAATACCGGTATAAATAAGTTATTTTTGCTTAATCTAATAATGATAATGATAATATCGCATAATGTTTAGGCAAGGTTGGGCTGGACATTGGACATGGACATTGGACAACCCTTGTCCAGTCCAGTCCAATCCATTGGACCAAAAAGCATTGGACATTGGACATTGTGTAATTTACAAATCATGTGACAAATAGCCAATCAAAAATCTTCACATTATCACACCGAAGAAAGTTGTGATCACGTGATGAAGGTAATATTTATAAAAAGTTCGTTAAATTTAAGGTTAGCATTTATATTAGGGCTAGAAATTAGTGAAATATGTATAGTAAAATTACCCAAGGAAAGCTTTTTGTTAGGCCATATTTTCACCAAAGATTTTTTTATATTTTTTAAAATTATTGGACATATTGGACTGGACATATGTCCAAGTATTATGTCCAATGTCCAATAGCATAAAAATGGTTGGACATATGTCCAGTGCCAACACTGTGTTTAGGTAATGACTATTAATTGATTTAGCCTTCTCGCATATTTATTGTGATAAAAACCGATTAATATAGTGAATAGAGTTCAATTATTAACCATTACATATCTTTGTTTGCATATTTTTGTAAACACTAATAAGCAGGCCTACCGAAAAATCAATTACGATTAATTTTTACATACGTCATACAATTAAATTTAATTAAAATTATCAAAAAATTAATTGAAACCCAATTAATGACGAAATAATTGCAATTATTTGCAATTAAATTCAATTTTCTTTCACTGGTGTAACCTGATCTTTTAAACAGCGAAAAATCAAAAATCATATCGTAATGGTGAATATACGATATTAACCTAATTACGTAAAATTGCAATTAAATGACCAATTGTGACTGCGCCATCAATCAACTAATTGAGCTTGAAAAATTGCAATTAATTGCCTCTACAATCAATTATTCGGTAGGCCTGCTAATAAGCACGAACGCACATATTTTGGGAAGCAACTATCATAATATAATTATTCTTTTCATCAATAAAAATGTCCAACAACACGATAATGCAGATCTATGATATCAATATATTTTTAATCACGTGTCCGTTTTTTGCCCTGGCGATACTGTGAATGATGAAGATAATTAAAATTTTGAAATAGTTATCAAATTCCCTTCGCCACGATCCTTTTGGCTTTGATGATCAGTGATTATTAAATTCATCTGTGTGGTGAAAAATCCACCCAATAAGAAAAGTGGTTTCGGGAATGCACGAAATGGCACAGGTCGCGTGGCACGCACAGACACGTTTACGGAATGGCACGGACATTACGACAAGGGTGGCATGTTATATCACATCATACGGAACGGCACGTTAAGATGACATGTGTTGGTTCGTTTCGTTTCGCGGAGAGCGAAAGATCAATAAATGTTTTTTTTTAAAAAAAGTGCAATATCTCATAATTTTACTAATAAAGCTGCTTTGTGTCTTAACAAAAAAAATTCCTTACGAATTTTACTTAATATACGGTTAGTTTGTTCATATTATTGATTACTGGTGAAATTTATAATCCACATGTTTGTATTTGTTATCGCAGTGGTACGTGAATTTACGTACCATTACCTGTACCGAATCCCGTGCTGTTTCAGCTAGTAAATGCTACAAAACTCGAGCCATTTATGGTCCGCCAGGGACAGTTAAAAAATTTATCCAAATTTTCTGAAATTTTTGGTAATTTTCGAAATTTATCAAAATAAACCGACCTTTTTAGCAGATCCAAATCTAACCAATTAGAATACAGAAATTATATCACGTTATATCTGATATTGTATTTTAATTGGTAGTGATGCAATTATTTTTATATTATTCAATAATGATAATTTTTTTTTAGATTATTTTTTTACCATTTTTTTTGGTGATAGTTTTTTGCTTGGTGTGCTTTTGCTATTTTTTAGCATAATATATATTTTTTTATTATGTTATAAATATACATTCCCATAGTTAAAAAACCATAATCTCAAGGCTCAAGATGCATGCAAAACGATACACAAACACAATTGACCCATGAATCATTATGCAAAATACTATTGTACAACAATGCAAAAAATAATAAAACACTTCGATTTTATATAATCAAAATTTATCGAATATTTGCAAAAATTATCAAAATATTTTAAAATTATCGAAATAATATTCAACTGTCCCTGGCACGGGCATACAATCCCACACGGTCCACTGAACTCGTACCAACTCAATACAAATCCGGATCCTGACCGTGCTACAAAGACCCGTTCCGATCCGGTACATTTTTCTTATAGGGCCAACCAAAAATTCCACCCACAAAAATGCATTCGTAAGCTTAGATAAGCCGTTTCAATATTTATAGCATTATCATAAAACTTTCGACACAGCCAGGGTGGGCTTGGGTCAAAATCCAGATAAACAAACAAAAATCCGGAAAGGTCAAAATTCCGACAAGTTAGCCCGCATTAGCTATAATTCCAATCAATTTTTTGTTTGTCAGAATTCTGTTTGTCTGGATTTTGACAGGGCGGACCCCTAAGTGCGGGTCCAACATCTCACGCGTGCACGACATATGCATTATGAAGTAATTATGACGTATCAACTCCTACTATAATCGGGATAAATTAAATTTTACGTTTACTAAAAAGGATTTTGCAAATTTTGCATTCAAAAAAGTTGACTTTAGTCGTACACACTTATGTAAGGAGTTGGTTATAACCAATCAAATACTTTGGTGCGGACAGAACATTCGTGACGGTGGAATAATTTTAATATATTTTGAAAATCTTATCCGGAAATATCAAAAAGATTTGCGAAAAAAAATTAATTGTATATCGATAATTATATACTAATACATATATAGTTTTATCTGCATAATTTATCAGATATTTAAAAATGTTTTCAATAAGGTAATTTTAAGTAAAATGCAATGTTGTAATACGTAAAGTTTGATTAAACTAACCAATGTATAAGTTGATAATTAAAAATGTACTAATAAGGCGCATTTTGGGAGATTGGATAGTCTAATCAAATTGGATTGAAATCAGCTGATTTTTTAAGGGGTGGGAGTTTGCAAGTCATATATTTTACAATTAAATTTAATTGGCTAATATTTGAATCAGGTGGGGTGGGTGGTTAGTAGCTGGAAATCACCTGATTTCTGTCCCTCCCCTTATAGCAACCTTATGATAAAAAAGATTGTCACGAACTACTTTTTGACCAATTAGATCGTTCTATAACTATTTTGTGTGCTCAAGAATAACTTTGATGAGTTAATAGATAAAACATAATATCATTGCCGCATTATAATCATTATAATAATAAGAGGATGTGAATGATGAAACACTTATTTTACTATGCGGTATCCGTTTTTAAAAGTTTAACCTACATAATAATAGTGGAATGTTATCTATGTCACTGCAGCATTATTGTTACAGTATTAGCATTATAATACGTATTTAGATATATTTTGGTATAACGCATTACGGTATGACGCATTAGGCGTTACGGCGCTACAGTAATACGGTGTTACCATTACGGCATTACGATGCATCTCAAAATAATTACGGCAAATTATATAACATACCGACATGTTGTAACTGTATTAATTCATGGGATGAGCTGTGAAACAAATTTTATGCAAATAGCATAGAACCTTACCAATCTAAAAAAAAATTTTGATTACAGTACCAGCGATAATGTTAGGGGTTGGGCGCATTTTGTTTGATTTTATGTTACACTTGATCATGAAATTTAATCTAATTACTGGATTAGATAGCGAAATTTTTTAGGTAGTGACGCTAGGGGTTGTACGCACGTACGTACATATTTTGGCGCCTTTAAATTTATTTATTTGAATTCTAATTAAAATTAAGAATCCTTCCTATTTTCTCGAATTGTGAATACAACCTTTTTGCTCTAAAAAGTCTACAGACATTAGAATTCATACCAACATGGGTAATAAAATTTCTAAATATTTTTTACACCGTTTTGCAGGAAAATTTCCCTGTGGAATGATCTATGAACCATTGAACTATATTGTAGATTTGCACACATATTAATCGAAAAAATTGACGTATCTAAATTTTATATTTAATTTATTTAGAAGATAATATAATTGTTGACTTTAAACTTTAAATACTTTGGCATTCAAAGGTTCTTTATATAAAATATGTGTATTAGTTAATAATGTTGCACCTAAAGTTAAATAACCCTCTATTATGTTCTTTAAATAAAAAAAAACTGATCCAATGTCAAAACATTATACATTAATTTTTATAATGATTTATCATGGATCAGTCTTTTAAAAGTAAAGGTCGTCAAACCTTTGGTGCAAAATTATTTTTGTTTTTAATGAGTACTCCAATTTTATATAAAGAATCTACGAACACTAAAGAAATAAGCCTTTAAAGTTTTAAGATTAACCAATTATTTTCTAACCGAGTAATGATGAAAAATTTATAAAATTTAAGTACGTCAATATGCGCAATCGTACACGACATATCACTGACTGATATGACAATGATAGTGGGATGGTGTAAGAGACTTTTTATTTTATCTACCAAAAGAAAATGTCATTATTAATGTAAATTCAATACATAGATGATGTAAATGTTTTCATTCGTCTAACCAATGAAGGAACTTCATATTACGTGCATTTACCATCAAGCAATAAATCTGATTTTGTTCAAAATATGTGTAATAATATTGCCTCAGCTATTAATTGTGATACTTCGCAAATAACAATGCCGATACATTATCAATACAGTAAAGAAAATGATCAAATTTTTATGCGCGTTAATATCGCCAAGGGAAATGATAGAATAGCATCTACCCTTGCTAGTGAATTAAATGAGGCGATCACGTACAAGTATAATTCGGCAATTTCAAATGGCACCGTCTCTCATTACATTGATCAATCTAATGGTGCTTGGCTAATGCGTACGTTCTTTTAATATTTATTATATTCACGATATTTACTTGTATATTTATCAATTATACATTATTAATTAATTTATATATATAGCCAATTTATGGGATAAATACAAATTTATCCTTATTGGAATCTGTTTAGGGCTTGCATTGTTAGGTCTTATATGGTGCTATACATGTCGCAGTCGCTTCAGAGGGGAAGTGAGTAGCTTACTGTATACATATACATGAACATGTTTTTTTACATTATATGCTAAAATATTCGTGATTTTTTTTTTACTTTTTAAAGTTATCTGGAAAAAAGATTAGACGACAATATGTAATGCGCAACTTCTTTACCATCTTGGTGTCTGCGTTAATAGTGATGGACTTTGTATTGGACATTTTGTTTATTGTTTTTCATAGAAAGGACGAAAAATGGATTACGCTTGTCAGGTTAGTTACATTCTTTTAAAAAATAATATATATACATATATTAAGATTATTAATCATCATTCATTAATATTTAATATTGGTGGTTTTTAGCGTTATTTTCTTAGTGGCTCCAATCGTTTTCTGCACCCTGTTTGCAATCTCAATTATTAGTTATGAGCTTAAAGAGAATTTACCATATAAAAAATGGTGGGAAACAAATAGTCACACTGTCCTAGCTTTAACACTTTTATCTGGACTTGATAATGAAGCTTTAATCGTGGCATCTTCACGTATCGGTATCCTTCGTACACTAAATGCACCTTATTCACCAGAAGCAGAAAAATGGATTATGAATGCTACTGCTTTCATTATATTTATCGAAGACGTGCCTCAATTTATATTTTTGGTAACCAAAATTCAAAAGTATTATGTATAGTCTGTGGAATCTTTGTTAGTGATAAAACTAATTTATATTATTTATATAGACTGTTTATCAAAATGTTACTATCATCCCGGCCATTGTTCCTATTCTTACACTTTTTTCATGCCGGATCCTCATCTTTATTAGAGTGATATCAATTATATATCGTGCATTCTTTAGTATACAAGAATATCAATACGATGAAGAATATGATGAAGAAATGGACGAAGAAGGGATAAGTGACATTAATGATGTTGAAAACCCAATAGAAAAATACACCGAAAATCAATTCATGGACTTATCAGGCGAGAGCAATTTCCAAAGTAAAAGAGCGCATTATGTAGATGAAAAAGGCATTGTCCACGCCAGGCGAGGGCATATTTATGTTCCTGAATCAATTGCTCCTGCTGAAAATATTATTATTTAAGAAAGCTCTAGTCCTTTAGAAAGACAGCGATTTTATTGTTATATCTCCGAAATTATAGAACTTTTTAATCATATTAAGTGTTTTTATATTAAGACAAGGAAGGGTGCAAAAGGTTGTTGGAAAATTAATAGAAAATATGAATACAATATGAATGATGAACAAATAACTACATGGAAAATTGATATAGAAGGCAATAAGTTAATATATAAAAACTATTACGAAAAACCTGTCAGCTGTGTGAACATGCGCGATTACTTAGGATCTCATTTACTACCTAACGATGATTTAATTGTAATTGCAACAAATTGCATTGCCATTTATACTCTTATTAAAAATGAAATACGAATTGTCTATTATATTAATATAGATATATTTATGAATGTTCAACGAAGACTTAAAGATGAGCTCCAAATTTTGGCACATCAAGAACCTTTTAAATCAAAAAATTTGTGGGGTGTTAAATATTTTAAACATGTATTAGATTATATGGATGAAGAATCAGAGAAAGATGTCGCGCAAAGTTTAAGAAATATGATAACATTATATATTGATGATATTTATACACTTTCCTGCTGTTCACCATATATTATGGAATCAATTGTGAAGTATAATGATCGGAAAAGAAAATTTAGAAAGCATGACAATGAAATAATTAATTTAATTATTGATAATTGTATAAATTGTTATAATAGAGATAATAGCAAATTCGACGTTCTACGTGCTATCGCAAGCTTAATTTCAGACCTTAAACAATTATATCCTTCTCATGCTACAAAATTCCTCATTTCTACGGCTATACTTAGTCATGCAGATGAAAAAATTAATTATGCGCCTAATTCGCATCTTGATGGCTCTATAGATGAATTGCCTGAATCAGCTGTTTCCAAATCGTTTAATAGCATTTATGGACATATTTATGATTTCATAGAAGCTATTATCATTGGTGTCGTTGGGTCATATGTTGTATTAAATCTTGGACTTTTTATTGTAATTCTTTTTGGAAATCAAACAAATACACTCGAACTGTTTGTTATGGTTGTTACCTTCCTCGCTGCTGGACTAACTATATTTATCATGTTATGGGTATCAATTGTAGATGCATTACATGATAGAAGGAGTTATTATCCAGCAGTTAAACTGCTCATTCCGTTGCCCAAATTTGCATCCTATCCCACTAAATATAATTTCTTATTCGAATTATTAAAACCTACTCCAAATGAATTTATAAAAACGGCTTTACAAACTCAAATACCCATTATTTACTCTGATTGGAATGGAGAGGCTCTTCTGAACTTTAAGTGGAATCGATTTGGAAAATTTTATTATTACGCAATTTGGATGGTGTATACCATCTTTCTTTTAGCCTTTATCCTAGCCACAAGTTTACCAAATAATTATATTTCTTCAGAAAATCAAAGAGTTTTGTTGATATTCTCTATCATAATGGGTTTTTCTCAGTTAACAATTGAAATCCGCCAATTTATCTGGGATTGGAGAAGCTACATAGTTAGTAGCTGGAATTGGTTTGGTAATGATATAATGTTAAATGCACATATTTTACTGAATTTAGAAAATCTCTTACTTAACATTTCACACAGCACTTAATTTTAATAGCATTGAACAATTTAATTTTCCAAGTTTGTAAAATTAAAAAAATTTCAAAGTTATTAAAGTTAAATTTTATCAAATTTCTATTGTTCATTAAGAATTTTAAAAAACGATTTTCTAAATTCTTTACTGTAAATTTCCATATGCAATACCCTGAGTGATACTTTTGGCCTAAATGTCAAATGATAAAAATTATAAAATCAATTTTCTCGATGATTATCTAATCAAATTTTTTAAAAAAATTTTTATCAAATTTGATTAGATAGTCATCGAGAAAATTAAATTGGGTCTATTATCTATGGTCTTGTATTTGCAGTTTACAGTAAAATGTCATAGTGGTTTTTATTATTTATACTGTTTCTGATTAAATAATTTTGGTATTTCCTTCCAATAGATCTTGGAGCATACCTATTTCCAATTGTAACATCATTCTTACGGTTATCGAATATTGCAATACCAGCTTGGCTACTAGCCATTTCATGTTTATTTTTAGATCTAAAATTTATGATATTTTTTAAAGCATTTGAATATTTGAATTTTGGTTTTTATTTTGCAATCATGTTAGGAGTTGCAAAAAGCGTATTTTCCTTTTTAGTAATTTTAGCATTCTTTGTATTTGCATATGCTCATGCGTTTTATATACTTTTGCATCCGGCAAACCAATTCAATCCTTCAAATCCAGACTTTAACAATGACTCAAATAACCCTTGGAATCTTGCAACTACCTATAATCCTATTAATAACGGAAATGTAATTATGAGTCCTTCACTTATCTTATTGCCAAATGCAAATACCAATTTATATGAATTTTTTGGAACTGCACTATTAGCTGTATATAAATTAATGACAGGTATTATCGAATTTTTAAATTTTCTTACCTAATGCAACTTGTTAATAATAGGTACACTTTATTTTTATTAAACTATTAGGGGATACTAGTTCATTATCAAATTGGGAATATTATAATAACAAAACCCTTGTCTTTTTATGGATTTCATTTTCATTATTTACGGTTATTTATCTTTTAAATTTATTTATTGGCTTATTGAACGTAGCTATTGCAGAAAACAATTCTAGAGTTTTATTTCTGATTCAAAGAGCCGAAGTATGCATCTTTTTTATATATATTTATATTTTCATTTTTAATTTTAATTATTGTTTTTTTGAATTAGATACTTGCTGAAATTGAGTTATTTTTTCTACTTCCTCACCAAAGAAGATGGGAATCCTGGTTTCCAGATCGAATGTGAGTTGTGTATTTTTTGCTCAATATCAATGTATATTTATAGCTAATTTTATGCATCTTTTATTTATAGTCTTTATTATGCGCATGTTGATAAATTAAGAAATAAGTTGTATAATATTAATGACGCTTATAAAGAAAGCCGATATCAACCAAATATTCAGAATCATCTTTTAAAACTTCTTCATATGGAAACAAATATAACCGACGAAACAGAAGATATTTTTAAAATTAATAAATCTACACAAACTGATAATTAAACTAGCACATTTTTTTGTACGAATTAAATAATGCATACAAATAAAATTAATTACAATAATGTTGATGCATTTTTTTTCATTATATATTGTAAATATATATATTAAGATTTCTTTCCTTTAAACATTTCAAGTAACCTAGCTTTGTTAAAAATTTATGTCCGATACCATGTCAGAATTTGATTGCAATAATGTCATAATTTGATTGCTACTATGCTCATACTTGATTGCTACTATACTCATATTTGATTGCTATTACCGTATTTGCTCGTAATAATATACCATATTACGATTTTTTCGGGCTAAGTTCATTAATATAGGTAGGGCTTCCTCTTGTAACCAAAATTTGTCAAAATAATTCGAACTACTTCTTAATAAAAAGTTTTTGCTGAAATAGTTGAAATTATAAAATGGTGAAATTGGCGGAATTGGTTTTTCAATACTAAAATTAATTTAAATTACAAAAATTAATTAAAACTAAACAAATTTAAATAAAATAGCTATTTGATATTTAATTTATAGATGCTGAAATTATTGTTGAAATTAAAAAAATTTCACCCTATCTTTACAGTACTGACATTAGAGTTGGCCCCGAAACCCTTTCCACCAAAATCCGAAAGTTTCGGGTTTCGGATTATAGCTTCCGAAACCTTATCCGAAACCCGAAACCTCACCCGAAACCCCGAAACCTTACCCGAAACCCGAAACCTTACCCAAAACCCCGAAACTACCAAATTACCAATTTGTATACATTATTGGGCAAAAATTTGTGAATAACAGAAATTTGGCTCAACCAGACAAATGATATTGGCTGACAAGTGCCGCTTCGCGGCACTTGTCAGCTAATCATTTGTCTGGTTGAGCCAAATTGCCGTTATTCACAAATTTGCCCAATAATAGTATTATCCGACAATTTATGATCATGATTGGTAGAGAGTTACCCGCTGAGTTTTTTTTTT